TGGCAGACAGTGGTCCAATAACTTTATGCATATGATCTGAATTCCCAGGTGTATAATGGGGCTGACAAGGGGCAAGGTTGTAGTCACTGCTTGGTCACAGCCAGCTACCCAGAGGGACCGAGTAGTTGAACCTGTGGGCTCGGGACCAAAGTTGCAGAGGACATCAAGATTGGCATAACATACTACACAAATCATTGTTCCACCTTCTACTGTGGCGAGTAGCAACTGAGATCTTAAAAGCTTGCAAGTTGCCATCTAGATGAAATGATGGATCTCTCCTCGTCCACAGCCAAGAAGAATGAAGAAAACCCAAAATTCATGGAAATAATCACTCCTAGCGACTATACACCATCAGATCTGCAGCCTATACGACTATGAGACCAGAAGAAACAATGTGGAACAAAACTCAAAATCATTTAAAAAAAAAAAAAAAGCGGGGAACAGGTTTGCTGGCCCAATGGAACCTGGTGGAACCACTGAGACTATGGCCCCTAGCTGCCCTTCAGGTCTGGAATTGAACACACACCTGTGGCTTCCAGCCAAGCAGTAGACAGGCATACTAGTTGAGCATTTACCTGAGGTACATACACTCCTTGGAGAGAACAAGCAAGAGCTTCTGGCTGCTGAGGCTAACAAGCCCAAGGTCAACAAGTAAACTGGCACAGTCCCAATATTACCAAACAACAGGGCAGGCCACTAGTTCAAGTCCAGACAATCCCAAGTTCATCAGGAAACACGGCAGGCTGCTAAATGAAGACTCGGCTACATTCAGGGTGCAAATTTGTCAAAAAGCTGCAAAGACCTTTCTCATAACTTGTTGTTGTTGTTGGGTCCCTTCAAATTGGTTCCAACTCACAGTGAGCCTATGTACAGTAGAACAAAAAACTGCCCAGACCTGCACCATCCTCACAATTGTTGCTATGCTTGAAACCATCAGCTCAGTCACTGTGTCACTCCATCTCATTGAGGGCTTTCCCCTTTTTTGCTGACTTTCTACTTTACCAAGCATCATATCCTTCTCTAGGGACTAGTCCCATCTGATAACATGATCAAACTGTAAGAAACTACTCTGGCCATTCTCACTTCTAAGGAGCATTCCAGCTGTAATTCCTCCAAGACAGATTTGTTCTTTCTTCGAGCAGTCCATAGTACATTCAATATTCTTCATCAACACATTTCAAACGAATCAATTCTTCTGAGGTATTCTTATGCTTTCACTGTTCAGCTCTTACATGCATATGAGGTTACTGAAAATACCATGGCTTGAGTCAGGCACACCTTAGTTTTCAAAGTGACACCTTTGCTCTTTCACACTTTAAAGAGGTATTTTGCGGCAGATTTGCCCAGTGCAATACATTGTCTGATGTCTTAACTGCTGCTTTCATGGGCATTGATTGTGGATCCAAATAAAATTAAATCTTTGACAACTTCAATCTTGTCTCCATTTATCATGATATCACTTGCTGGTCCATTGTTAGGATTTTAGTTTCCTTTATGTTGAGGTGTAATCCATACTAAAGGCTGCAATCTCTGATTTTCATCACTAAGTACTTCCAGACTTCTTCACTTTCAGCAAGCAAAGTTGTGTTGTCTCCATATTCTAAGGAGCATTCTACCGTACTTCCTCCAAGACAGATTTGTTCTTTCTTCTAGTAGTCCATAGTACATTCAATATTCTTCATCAACACATTTCAAACAAATCAATTCTTTTGGGGTCTTCTTATGCTTTCACTGTTCAGCTCTTCCATGCATATGAGATTACTGAAAATACCATGGCTTGATGAGTCTTCCTAAGTCACTAGACTGCTAACCAGAAGGATAGCAGTTAAAACCCACCAGCCTCCTCAGAAGGAAGGTTGAGCAATCTACTTCGAGAGAGATACCGTCTTGGAAACCCAAGGAGGGGTCACTATGAGTCAGGACTGACTCAACAGCACATAACAACAACAACACAATCCCAATGCCACATTCTTCTTCATATGGTCCATCTTCTTAGATAATTTGCTCTGTATTCAGATTGAATAAGTGCAGTGAAAGGATACGACATTGATTCCTTATTTTAAACCATATAGTATCCCCTTGTTCTATAAAAATGACTGCCTCTTGTTCTATGTACAAGTTCCTCATGAGCGCAATTAAGTGTTCTAGAATTCCCATTCTTTAGAATGTTATCCATAATTTGTTATGAGCCACACAATCAATTGTTTTTTCATAGCCAATAAAACACAGGTAAACATATGTCTAGTATTCTTTGCTTTCAGCTAAGATCTAAAATTAGCAGTGATATCCCTCATCCCATGTCTTCTTCTGAAGCTGTCTTGAATTTCTGGCAGTTCCTTGTCTATGTAACCTGCAACTGTTTTTGAATTATTTTTAGCAAAATTTAACTTGCATGTTATATTAATGACATAGTTCAATAATTTCCTTATTCTGTTGGATTACCTTTCTTTGTGATGGGCACAAATACGGGTCTTTTCTAGTCAGCTGACTAGGTGGCTATCTTCCAAATTTCTTGGCATAAACAACTGAGTGCCTCCAGCACTGCATCCATTTGCTGAAACATCTCAACAAGTACTCCAACTATTCCTGGAACCTTGTTGTTTGACAGTTCCTGCCGTGTAGGTTGAACTTCTTACATCAATACCATCAGTTCCTCATCATTTGCTACCTCCTGAAATGGTTTAACATTGTTCAATTCTTTTGGTAAAGTGACTATGTATTCCTTCCATCTTCTTTTGATGCTTCCTGTGTCATTCAATATTTTGCTCATTGAATCCTTCAATGCAACTCAAGACTTAAATTTTTTCTTCAGTTGTTTCAGCTCAAGAAATGCTGAGCATGTTCTTCCCCTTTAATTTTCTACCTGTAGATCTCTGCATATTTAATTATAATACTTTTGTCTTCTGAAGCTGCCCTCTGAAATTTTCTATTCAGCTCTTTTTTACTTTACCATTTCTTCCATTTGCTTTAGTTATTCTACATTATTTAATAGCAAATTTGAGAGTCTCTCTTCTGACATCCATTTTGGTTTTTACTTTCTTCTCTGTCTTTTTAAAGAATTTTTGCTTTATTCATGTATGATATCCTTGATGTCATCCCACAATTCATCTAATCTTTGGACACTGGTGTTTAATGCATCAAATTTAATTTTGACATGGTCTTGAAATTCAGGTGGGATATACTCAAGGTCATATGTTGGCTCTTGTGGATTTGTTTTAATATTCTTCAGCTTCACCTTGAACTTGTAAATGAGCAATTGACCATCTGCCCCAGAGTCAGCATCTAGCCTTGTTCTGACTGATTATATTGAGTTTTATAATTACCTCTTTCCACAAATATAGTTGATCTGATTCCTGTTTATTCCACCTTGTGAGGTTTATGTGTATAGTTGTTATTTGTGTTGTGGGAAAGGTATTTGCAATGAGAAAGTTGTTGGTCTTGCAAAATTCTATCATGCAATCTCCAGTATTTCTCTAACCAAAGCCCTATTTTCCGACTACCGATCATTCTTCATTTCCAACTTTCCCATTTCACTCATCAGTAATTATCAATGTGCTTTAATTTATCTTTGAACAATTTCAGGCTGCAGAAGTTGGTAAAAATCTTCAAGTTCTTTATATTTGGTTTTAGTGGTTGGTACATAAATTTAAATAATAATAGTATTAACTCCACTTCCTTGTAGTCATATGCATATTATCCTATCACTGATAGCACTGTACTTCAGGACAGATCTTGAAATATTCTTTTTGACAAAGAACGCAGTGCTCTTACTCTTCAATTTGTCATTCCTAGCACAGTAGACCATGTTTGTCTGATTCAAAATGGCCAATACTAGTCCATCCCAGCTCACTAATGTCTAAGACACAGATCATTATGCATTCCGTTTCATTTTTGATAACCTGCAATTTTCCAAGATTCATATTTTGTACATTCCATGTTCCAATTATTCATGGATATCTGCAGCTGTATCTTCTCATTGTGAGTTGTGCCACATCAGCAAATGAAGGTTCAAAATGCTTTACTCCACCTACATCATTAACGTTGACTCTATTTTGAGAAAGCAGCTCTTCCCCAGTCATATTTTGAGTGCCTTCCAAACTGAGGGTCTCATCTTCTATCACCATATCCAACAATGTTCCACTCTTATTCATAAGGTTTTCAATGGTCAATGTTTTCATAAGTAGACAGCTTCATTCTTCTGCCCAGTCTGTCTCAGTCTGAAAGCGCCACAGAAACCTGTCCAGCATGGGTGACACCACTGGTATCTGAAATATCGGGGCATAGCTTCCAGCAACACACAAGCCATCACAGTACAACAAACCGACAGACAAGTGGTGGTAACTGTAGCAATAATAAGCAAATGGGTAGAGAAAAAGGTTAGCTTTAGTTACCAGAGGCTAGGGTGTGGAGAAAATGGGAGTTATAATTGAAGAGGTACTGAATTTCTCTTTGGGGTGACAAAAAACCTTTTAGAAATGGATACTGATGATGGTGAAATAGGACCAAACACGGGTCCCTGCCCAGTGTGCAGTCAGGCCAAAACAGTTTACACAATGAGTGATTAAGAGAAGAGAAAATTATTTATTGCAAAGTGGCAATGCAAGGAGTAGGGGTACCCTCTGTACCCAGATCTGACTCCCTGAATTCCCTTGAATTACAGTTATGTAGGTTTCAGAAGAGAGGGTTATGCATATTCATAAAAATGTCAGGAATTTGGGCATGAGATGGCTGATGTTTGGCTGAAATTTCCTTCACCTCAGTTTAAAGGGACAGCAGTGTTTTGATCCAGTGCCCTTGTGTACCGGATGAGTCACACCAGCTTCCTGTCATCAGCTGATCGGGGCTTAGGCAGAGGGGAGAGTGTTAGTTCCCAGTAACTTTGTTCCTCTTTGTCCCAATGAGCATGTCCATGGGCCAGAGTTAATTTTCAAGTTGTTTTCCAAGACACATTAACTCACCTGTGCCTAAGGAAATAGAAGGAAATAATTTTTTTTTTTTTTTTTCCATTCAGTTCTTAAGGAACTGAGCTTATTGTATTTACTCATCTGCCTCCAGCCTGAGTCCTATGTGTTTACTCATCTATCTCCAACTGGGGTCCAGGGTGGGGAAAATAGTTGAGGGTAATTAAGTTTACTTATCTATTCCCATCCAGGGTCTATCTGTTCTAATTATCTGCCTTAACCAGGGTGGGGGAAATAGTTTTGACTTTACTCGGTTTCAATGGTAGCAGAACATGGTGAATATAGTTAGTGTTACTGAATTTAATAATGGTTAAAATGGCAAGACTTTTTAAGTTAAAAAAAAATGTAAAGAATACTAAATCTATGAATTTAGTAATTCTTTACACTATCATTCCCTGATTATTTGTAATAACAACTAATCTTGGATAATTTTTTTCTTTAATTTTTGTTTTGAACTTATACATTCATTACTTTCCTAGGAAATCTCATGTAACATATTCTTTACTTTATCATTCCAAGTTTAGTATATATGCTTCCTACTTGAGTTCACAGGGTTCTCTCTATGTGACTTAGATACAGAAATAAAGCCTTAATAAGATTTTTCTTTCTGAAACACAAGACTCGTAATGTCAGACAACGTATTCTTACTCTGACAAGTTCTTCAAATACATACGTGCAATTAAATAGACAAGCAGTGAAATTTAAAGGTGCAGAATTAGAAACCAATATACGGACAACACTCATCTGCCTGAACGGAACAGACTAAAACACAAATATCAGAGATCATTATCAGCCAAAAACATGGACAAGGAAGAAACAGAGAGGGACCTGAAAAATGAAGATAAATAATAGTGACCTAATACCCCACCTCTATCTCATTAAAAAAAGATGAGGTTAGGGACTGCTAATGTCTGAAAAAGAGTCTTGCAAAAAACCAGCTCGAAGTTACCATCTGCTTTGAAGCCCTGTCTACAATATCCAGACTATGATCATCACTCTTTTCCATGCTGCCACTGCACCTAGTACACACTTACCTTTTTACTGACCACAATGCATGATAACCACTTATATATCTCCCTCATTCCTGCTCACTCTCACACATTCTAAGCATCCTGAATGCAGGAACCATTACTTTATCATATCTATGTCCCCAGTGTTTGTGCCTAAAACATAGTGAATATTAAAAACAAGTTACTGAATTGAATGTAAATAGAAATATTTTTCTAAACATTACATGATTGTTACATTTAATCAGCTATGAAAGAAAGTAAATCAAACTGATTATGACCAGAAACTTCTTAATATTTATCCTTTAACACAATTATTAAGTATCACAAATGAAAGGCAAAACTGAGTAATTTAATATAGGATGAGGCCTATTTCTATGAGACAAAACAAAACAAAAACCTACTGCCATGAAGTCAATTCTGACACACAGTGATCCTACAGGGCAAGCCAGAACTGCCTCCATAGGGATTCCAAGGCAGTAAATCTTTACAAAAGCAACCTCATCTTTCTCCTATAGAGTCAATGGTAGCCTCCAACATTCTGGTTAGCAGTTGAATGCTTTAGTCACTGCCTCACCAGAG